TAGCGAACCACAGAACGATACAGTCCGGGTCTTAAAAAGCGACGTCGCACACGATCGTAGGTACGAGAGACGTCTAGGTGACCTGCTGTAGGTACGTCATGTAGTTGTTCGAGAACGCTGGTACGCAGGTTATGGGGTAGCACGGGCAGTAATTCCGGGCCATCAGCGTTGAAGCTTCGACGGTACAGAATGTTGTCGTGCATTTCGAACAGGCGAACTGAAGAGTCTGTTGGAGCAGAGGTCAGACGCTCGATGATGGATAGTAACGACGGGTCACGTCATTGTTCGGTGGAGATATCAGCCAAAGCGTAGATGGAGAGAACGCAGGGGTCTGAATCAAGCTCTGTCAAGTCGGGCGTTTCAACCGGATAACGTGACAAACAGTCTGCGTCTGTGTGCAGGCGTCCCGTCTTGTAGTGGACCACGAACGAGTATTCTTGCAGACGGAGTGCCCAGCGACCGAGACGTCCAGATGGGTCCTTTAGCGATGACAGCCAGCAAAGAGCGTGATGGTCCGTAGCAACGGAAAAAGTTCGGCTATACAGGTAAGGCCTGAATTTCGCCACGGCCCACACTAAAGCTAGGCATTCACGCTCAGTGATGGAGAACTTCCGTTCGGCAGGTGAAAGAAGACGACTGGCGTAAGCAATCACGCGGTCTTTCCCGTGCTGTCGTTGGCCAAGGACTGCTCCAATTCCATGGCCACTGGCATCGGTTCGAAGCTCTGTAGGTGATGCAGGGTCAAAATGGGCCAGTATTGGTGGCGTAGTCAGCAGATGGATAAGAGCCGAAAAAACGTCCGCTTGCTTTATGCCCCATGCGAAGGGAACGTCCTTCTTTAAAAGATCAGTAAGCGGTCGAGCAATGTCGGTGAAGTTGCGGACAAATCGACGAAAATAGGAACATAGCCCTACAAAACTTCGGACGTCCTTGGTTGAGCGTGGTTCAGTAAATTGTTGTACTGCTCGCACCTTTTCGGGATCTGGTTGAACACCACCGGCACCGACAAGGTGGCCGAGTATGGTGATTTGGCGACGTCCGAAATGGCATTTTGCAGAATTGAGCTGGAGAGCAGCTCTTCGAAAAGCATCCAGAACGGCTGACAGACGTGTTATATGGCTGTCAAAGGTAGGTGAATAGACGATGATATCGTTTAAGTAACATAAGCAGATGGACCACTTATATCTTCGGAAAAGGGAGTCCATCATGCGCTCGAAAGTTGCCGGCGCATTACACAGTCCAAACGGCATGGCTTTGAACTGGTAGAGGCCGTCGGGTGTAACGAAAGCGGTTTTTTCACGACCCATGGGGTCGACGGAAATTTGCCAATAGCCGGACCGAAGGTCGATAGACGAAAAGTATTGGGCACCATGGAGGCAATCGAGGGCGTTATCGATCATAGGCAAAGGGTAGACATCTTTGTGGATTACTTTGTTTAAATGGCGATAGTCCACGCAAAAGCGCCAGCTGTCATCCTTCTTCTCAACGAGCACGACTGGAGAGGCCCAGGGGCTGGATGATGGTTCTATTACGTCTTCAGTAATAATTTTGTCCACTTCATTCTGAATTACTTGGCGTTCCTTATGAGATACGCGATATGGACGCTGGTATGACCGTCGTCAGTAGGCGCCATGCTGTCGCTGTGAAGCGTAGCCGGAGAGCGTTCCCACGCCTGGAACCTAGTTTTCTCGGAACCAGCATACAGACATGACTATGCCCGCCAGGCATTGTCCCTTCTAGCCGGAGGATGAGACGTCGTGTCGCCACGACACCGTAAGCCGTTCCAGAGAGGACAACAAAGACAGCATCTTCTTTGGAAGAAACCGCGGCCACCGCCTCAAATTGCCCTGATAATTGAGCGGACAGATTGGCGGACTGTTTGATGTCTGCTGTCAGAAGCTTGGGAGCCCTCGACCAGCGGCACACACACGACGAGAAAGAGCCCCTCTGGCGCGTCCTTGCAGTGCAGTGATCACGACTCAATATTGGATGTTCACGTGCGCCGTGTATGCTCGTACGCCTCGCCTGTTGTGTCTGCGTGATTGGTGTTCCAATCAAGATGGAGGAGCCCGACAGGGCTTATAACGACGCTGCAGTGTGCTGGACGTCGCTCTGAACCATGTAACGGTTCAACCACCACGCTCGTGGTTTGTGAACTCCCAACCTGCTATAAATGCTGTAAATATTTGTAAATAGTGCCATAAACCTGTTTGTTTGTCGTATCCCCATTTTGTCAGCGTTCGTTTCCTCAACCCGAAGCTACACCACGCTACCACAAAAGACCGGGCTTACCCCGGTCCGCAACAACTGGTAAACAGTGCTGAGATCCACTACAACTGGTGATCAGCGCCGGGATCCGCAACAACTGGTGAACAGCGCCGAGAGCCACGACAACTGGGTGGCAGCGGTGGGATACGAAGCTACAAGTGACAACAACAGTCGGCCCAAGAGAAGCAGCTGGCTCGACACATGGATCACGTATGGGTGAGTGCTTGGCTTAATTTTCCTTTGAGTGAACCAGGTTCTAAAAGAGGGTTAAAATTTAGAACTGGTAGTTAACTGTGCCGAAAGACTCAGTTTCGCCGTTTCGGGAAGTTTTTTGGAAGTAGCGAGCACTCAGTACGATCATGGACTTACGGGAGCTGCGGAAGTCAGACTTGTTGCTGTTGTGTGAGGAATTGGGGATCGATACAGAGGGTTTGGCACCAAAACCCGTAATTCTTCAAGTGATTAATGATTTGGGGGCTGATGATGAGGAGCTCTGTGAAGCATGGGACCTCATAAGTCAAAGAAAGAGACAGCAGAAAGAGGAGGAAGAGAAGCGTGAGCGCGAAAGAGGGGAGCGTCGCTTAGAATGCGAGCGTGAAACAAAAAGACATGAATCTGAGAGAGAGGAACGTCGCATAGAACGTGAACGTGAAGCAGAAAGACAGGCGCACGAGATGGAGATCCGCAAACGAGAACTTGAGTTGAAGGAAAGGTTGGGCAGTGGTCTCCAGCAAGTGGTACCTTACCCCAAGAGGGAGGCAGAGTTCAAGATGTCCCGGTACATCCAGCCATACGTGGTATCAGAGGATATTGGTCTTTACCTGGTAAATTTCGAATGGATGTGTGAGAAAATGTCATTCGACCAAGACACCTGGTCACAAAGGCTACTCTCGGTTCTGCCCTGCGAGGCAGCGGAGGTTGTTGCGCGACTTAGCAAGGAGGACGCAGACAACTATGAGAAGGTCAAGGCTTGCCTTCTAAGAAAGTATAGACTTTGCGCAGAGGCTTTTAGATAAAGATTTCGGGGTGCTAAAAAGTCTAAGAGCGAGAGCTATCCTGACTTTCTGTACAAAATGAGAGCAAATTTGACAGAAGGGCTAAAGAGCACCGAGTCATGCAGTGACAGGAACGCTGTAGTGGAGAGGATTCTATTAGAACAGTTTTTGAAATGTCTCCCATAGCAGGATAAAAACTGGTTACTCGACCGGGATGATATAAGTTCTGCGACGAAAGCGGCTGAACTTGTCGAAGAGTACGCATCACGCATATATTATAGCAGCAACCTGGGAGCCGATAGAACCTCTAATTCCAGATCAAACTCGAATAAAGGTTATAGGAAACATTTTTCGAGTTTTCGAAATGAGAAAAGGAAAAAAAAGGTCCCGTCTGGCAAATTTCAAAAGAAGGAGGATAGTGAACCAAGTGAGGAGGGGCAAAATGCGGGACAAGCGAAGAATGCTTTTCTAGTTAAGAAGCCGTTCACTTGCTTCAAATGCAATGAGACTGGTCACATAGCAGAGAACTGCCAAAAAGAAAAGATGGCGTTTTTATATATCAGTGACTGCGAAGAAAACATGAGGTTATTGGAGCCTTACATGCATGACCTTGTTGTGAATGGAAACCTCTGCTGTGGCAGTCCGGGCCGCCAGTTCAAGGAGGTTTAAACAAATATCACTTTCACCTCCTTAGTCATGTTATAGTCAGGTGTTACTTGAGTTGGCTACGTACTAGCAACACTTCTTGCTGCAGAATGTTTTCGTAGAAGTCGTACGAGTTGTTTTAAGCTCAGCGACAGAGGTGCAATTCACGCTAACTTTGTGTTTCATAGATGTGCGTTGTTGGGTGTGCAGTGGATCATATAAAATTTTCATCTCGACACTACGTAACTAATACAGGAGATATATAGCTGTCCCGACAGGTACAACGTGGGACTCGGGACACTCTACAAAAACTACGGACTGTCCTGCAAAATGTGAGATGGTTCGTAATCATAACCTTCTCACGACTTTTTCTTTTTTTAGATTTTTATGTAATTCTGCACTTGATATAATTGTTTGTGGGGCAGAATGCAAGGTCGTGCTTGAGACCTACTTTAACTACATTTAAGCCTTGCAATGGGCCTACCAAACTAACTGCTACTACGTTCTGAGCGATTCATTGCAGAGAAGAGAACTCTCTAAATCAGCACTTGTTGCACAGTAGTTACTGTATGTGGGAGCCGTATACATTTACACTAGCAGGACTCGTGCGCGCTAGGTGGAAGATAGTCAACAACCAGCTTCCAAGAGGCTGAGTAAAGTCCAAATGGTCCCGAAAGTCTCCCGAAACTGTACATTCATCGCCACCGCAGGCCTGCTATAACTAAAACTAATATAGCTAAAACTGTTATTTATTTAGTTTTTTCTCCCGCAAATAAGAGCGGTTACAGTTACCACTAAACGCCTGCCTCAAAGCCATCTTCCACCGTGCCAATCACACCGTACTCAGAACCGGCGGCACTAATCGCCGCTGCCAAAGTTACTACAATTTATTCTAGTAACGTTGGCCGCTGCATCCTCGTGCGCGAAGCAGCATTAGAGTTACAGAAGTGTGGCAGCAGTTCGTATGACATTATGATAGTTATAGCGCGAGAACAGAACGACGACACAGTCCTTCGTGTCCTTCTTGCCTCTGTGTCGTCGTTCTGTTCTATCGTCATGGAGTTCCAGATCTTGCTTGCGACTGCAGCGCCATGTTACCATGGTCACGATTGCCACCACTTCGGCAATGGTGGATGGCAGGGCAGCGAAGGGGTGATGGAGAGCGCTGGCCTAGCGTGCACAGACATCAGTGGAGGGTTGGAGCGTACTCCTGTCTCATTTCTCAATGAAGTGGATGCTGGACAACTCCCTAACTTTGAGGTGAGACAGTTGGTCATGTGACACAGGAACGGTGAAGGCGTCAGCCAGGAACCTTCGAGCCCTGGCAAATGGTAGTGTTCTGTGCCCTGGCGGCGTCTTCGACCCGTCGGATTGCCCAGAGCTGTACCTCTGAACGATTTCAACGCACAGTAGTTGAATTGTTGCACGGAGCAAGGTTTTCTTCCTCCGTGAATGGTTGGAATACTTTCCATTTTCTTGCGAAATAAGTGGGGGAAGCTGCTTGACTGCTAAACATTCGCGACCGCTGTATGTGCGAGAACGCAACTTTTTTTTTTTCTTATTCATTTTCGTTCTGTTAAACGGTCAGGGTTTTGATTATATATATTTCAGCGATTAACTGACTCTCTTTGTTCTGCGCTGTAGTACACCACCACAAATGTACCGGGCCCTGGATGCGATGAGCAGGCATTTAACGAAGTGTTTGCCAGCTGTAGCTGCCGGCCAGTTTGTGGCTCCCAGTGTCCCTGTGTGGTGCGCAGCAAGCGGGCAGGATGTGCTGCGGCGATCGAGTGTTCTTCTCTGTGCACTTGTGGGACCGCCTGCCCGATCCGCCATGTCCAGCACGGCCTGCGTTGCAGGCTGCAAGTGTTCAAGACACAAGCAAAGGGGTTTGGTGTCCGGACGATGGAGTTTATTCATCGTGGCAGCTACGTCTGCCCGTATGCCGGAGAAGTGATCAGCATCGAGGTAGCGCGCCAAAGAGTGTCCAAGCTGGCTCGTTGCGAGTCAAACTATGTGATGGTGTTGCGGGAAAACGGTGTGGTGACGCTAGTGGTGGACCCAAGGAGCGTCGGCGGTGTCGGGCGATTTCTGAATCACTCGTGCGAGCCCAACCTGACTATTACGCCTGTGCGTGCCGAGTGCGTTGTGCCAGAGCTTGCACTGTTTGCGAAGCGAGACATCAGTGCGGGTGAAGAGCTGACGTATGACTACTCTGATGGTTCCTACTCGTCACCACAGAGAAGCAACACGAAATGTGCCTGTGGTTCCAAGCGGTGCTTTGGCTGGTTACCCATGGATAAACTGGTGCTGGGCTTCTGAATATCTGACTGCCTGTGGAATTTCACCTAATTAAACTATCTGCAGTGTTTTACATTCCACTAATGTAACAGGCACATGCCCACATAGCTAGTGCTGATTGCTTACTCTCCTATTATACGATAAAGAGGAGGTTTGGAGAACAAGTAGCATGCAGAAAATCCTGTAAGACTGAAGTTTTGTAAATGGACGCAGGAACATGTTATTCTTTTTTTTCTTTATTTGTACCAATCAAGTGGAAAGGGGTAGCCGTTGCCAAGTAACGGTGACAAAAGTCCTTCGTGTATTTTCTATTCCGATAAAAAAAAACACGTTTCAGCTATGTACAATGATGCCCGTCTTGTAGACGATACTACACTAGTCACAGCAGTCCACCTCCTTGCACTGCATATTTATTGTTTAATTGTGTCTGATTTTGCACTCATTCAGCTCACCATAAGTGCAGGAAAAAATGTACTTGTGAAGTTTACTGGTGGCACTCGGGAAAGAAAATAAAGTATAAATTCTTGATGTTGTTGGTTTAGTAACAGACTGTTATCAGAACGCTAACCGATTCACTCTAGTGAACCAAAAAGTTGGCCAGCATTCAATGTTTGGAAATTTCCTCTTATTTGGTTGCCTTTCGACCAGTGTATACTTTGTAATTGGTTGTTACAATGATGATCTTGTGCATCACGCAGGGGAATCAAGCTAAGCTAACTGTGCATAATTGCTGTGGTTTAGCGTCCCAAAAGCACCATATGATGAGAGACTCCGTAGTGGAGGGCTTCAAATATCTTAAGTACACGGGCCTCAAGCATTTTCGACTTCATTGACAAGGCAGCGGCCAGGATTCGATCCCGCAACCTCCTCATCAGCAGCCAAGTGCCTTATCCACTCGACCACCATGATGGGTAAAGCTAACTATGCAATTGAGGAGGATGCACAAAATAAATGTGGGATTTCTGTGAAAAAAATTTAAAAGTTTGTTCATGCAAGGTTCATTTGAGCGTAATACTAATGTCTGCAACGAAATGAAGCCTATAATTAGGGCCGATAAGGCATGCAGTTTCCTACAGTTTTAACTGCAATTGACAATGTGACGTGACAGCTGTAGAATAGGGGGACATATGTTATGTTTATAAGACTGCATAGCCGGCACTGCAACCAGAATTGACATTTCGCGAACATTGGGGTCTACTTGAAGAGTATTTCCGAGACATGGCGTGGTTGTGGCGTAGAGTGCTGGGGTTTGATTCCCGCTGGCACCCTGACATCTTTCTTCACATTTATCGGCTCAACGCTACGATGTCAGCTTTTTCTTAACACTAATGCGTTAAAATTATTCTTGTGTGTGCTCACCAATCCTGGGTAGATATAAAGTGTGGCACATACTCGCCTGCGGGCATGTGGCACACTTTATATCACGAGAGCACCCTGATGTAGGCTACTAGATAGACAGACAGACATAGAGACAGACAGACCAACGGACGGACGGATGGATGATGGATGGATGGACGGACGGACACTCAAAGTGTTTGCAGTACGTAGAGACATGCTTCGAATTTAAAAAAACTGGTCATTTATGACAAAATGTCGTGTTACAAACCAGGCAATTTGTTATGATTAATCATGCACACAAGTAGTCATCGCTTTTATTCAGTTAAAAAATAAAATTGTTCAGAAATTTTGGAATATGATGTGGCAGTGGTAATGTTATTTAGAAGTTTTGTAAAGATGTGGCCAATATTGTTTTAGCATAAAGCTCCTACTTTTATCATTAGCCATGATGTAGTTATCCTTTCAAGTGTGTAAGGGAATAGATCCACGTTTTAAATATTTAATTGGTAATTGCTCACTTTTAATAATCCAGTAAAAATGCATAATTGCATTTTCGGAAACTATGGCTCAAAATGCTGCTCATAGGAGGGTAGTTTCACTCTGTGCTTGGTCTTGCCTAAAAACTTCTTGTTAAAGTGCACAGCCGTACTGCCTTAAACTGGGTAATGAGGCACTTTTTAAATTTAATACATGGATGTGTCTTTTTTTTATGATTTGACGTCTGCCAGGTGCAATCGCTATGCACCTGCTAGGCGTGTACAAGCTGCAGTTTTCGGCACAGACACTCTTGCTATACAGAATGAATAACGGCCAGACAGTTTTTGCAGCGTCTGATGAAAAAAAAAAAGAAGTAGTAGCAAATGCTCACTGCTGCACTTCGCAAATTGTAAGTGGAAGGAGGTAATTGATTAGTGGGGTTTAACGTCCCAAAACCACCATATGATTTTGAGAGACGCCGTAGTGGAGGGCTCCGGAAATTTCGACCACCTGGTGTTCTTTTAACGTGCACCCAATTCTGAGCACACGGGCCTACAACATTTCCGCCTCCATCGGAGTGGAAGGAGGTAAAGATTGGTGCAACAAAGTGCAATCAAAACTACACATGACCGAGAAGAAGGACACAGCATGTCAGCATTGAAAATTACATCAATATGAGAAAGGCCGATGCCCTGCAAAGGTTGAGTCACTGCATTTGTCACAAAATGAAAGAAGTGCTGTAATCTGGCTCACATCGCTCAAGCAAGAAAGCAGTGATGAACAAAGCCACCAGACTTCTTGAAGCTGTGGAAGGATAGGGAAATCTATGCACCACCTCGTGGTAGCTGAACGATCACAGCCCCGGAGTTCTCACAAGTTTTTTTTTTTTCTAAACAACTCTTTCAGGAAAGTATCCTGAATATAAATAAATTTGTTTATGAACTGCATATAAAACCTTACAAAAGTAAATGGCTTATAAAGATGTAGGATTGGCTAACAACTAATGAACACTGTTTTATGCAAGAGTCATATCTTCATTTTAGTGCCATTGTGCACTTTTTTTGCAGCACATTCTTTAGTGCGTACATTTGTGCCTTATCATAAGGTAGTGGTAGTGCTTGAACTGTTGAAAAATCTTGTATTGAAATATATATAAATGCATAACTTCTTGCATTGTACAGAGCTGCGTGAATGTTTAAAAAAAATTGCAGATGGTAGAATGCAAGGGCTGGGACAGTTGATGTGAAGTGCCGCATACACATATTTGTTAATTACACAATCCACCGCAAAAGTTTACAGACCTTGCGATCATGTGGCTAACAGCCTCTTCACAACATAATTGACAGCAGTACTACACCCAAGACACCTTCCCGAGTTTATCACCTGTCTATTTTCTCACTGGTCCTGAACGTTTTCCATGTTTCACTTTTATAACGTGACACTTTTTGACAGTAATGGCTAGGTGCTTTTGTCTCGAGAGCAGTGTATTAGTGTAAGTGCTATGAGTCGCAACCGTTCGCAGAAACTGATCTAGTGTACGCAGCAGCACACAATGATTGCAGTGATTCTGCTAACACAGCTGAAGTGTGGTGGCTTTACTGTGCTCTGCGAGTAATGCACTGTGCAGCAGCAGAAAACTGATATGCCAGTGAATTAGAAGAATACCTATTTCTGGCCAGTAGGTGGGGCACAGCTAGATGGCGCGGACATTCAGTTTTTCATGCATTTGCATGGTTCGCAAACTTTTACAGTTGACTGCATGTATTATACTACCCTGTCCTCATTTCTATAAATTGGTGCCTCATAAAGCAGCATCTAGTAGTGGTAGAAAAATTTTGACAAAGGGATTCGGGCACGTATGGCTCAAGGTCCCCGCACAACCCCCACTGCGCTTTGCGTTCATGAGTTCATGCAGTTGCGTGACGTGGGCGGCCCGGTCAGTAGTGGTCTTCCGCTTGGCTGGGTCCGTCAATCGCAGCAGGATCTCCTATTCCTCCCATGTGGTCAGTGGCTGCGGTGGAAGGTCCCCGGGCATTCGAGGAGGATGTGGGTAAGGGAAGCATGGGGGTGAGCACATTGGGCACAGGATGGGGAGTATGCTTCTGGCTAGATGCGGGAAAGAAAATAGGGGGAGGAAAGTGCGCGGGTCTGGAGGGGACGCCATAATAGCTGGTGAAAATTGCCCAGGGATCGGTGGGGTGAAGGGTATAGCTGGCGTTCCGCGCGGTTTGCTTCAGTCATCTCGCTGAAGGAATGCATGTGCTCTCTGGAAGAGCGCGGCTCGGAGTCCGCTGCCGCCCGGTTGATGAGACCTCGGGCGTGGTCAATGGCGGCTTCTTGCCGGGATTTCTAGAGTGAGCAGACACCCAGATCAGCTCCACATGGCAGGCCGGATGTTTGCGGGGCGAGCTGAGTATGCCGAAAGCGGTCTCATGGACTCGGCCTCGCGCAAAATTTAGAATTGCGGTTTTTGAGTCAGAAAGGACATACCAGGCATCAGTGCAAGTTAGGGCAAGTGCAATCGCCACGTCTTCCGAGGATTCTGGGTTGGATGCTGTGGTTAGACGGAGAGTTGCAATGGTCTGGAGTGTGTGATCAACGACTGCAATTGCCGGGTCATCGCCTGTGTGAGCTATGCTCCTCAGAACCGTAGTATTTGTGGATAGCTTTTGCACGGGCCTTGCGGCGGGCCGAATAGTATGCAACGTGGGTGTTTCTAGGGAGAGGCTTTATGGTGTATGTGTGGAGGGACTGGTAGGAGTGAGGGGTTGGCTGCTGGTATGTGAATGTTGAGGGTGTCAAGTATGTGGCGTACAGTAAAGGTCTTAGCTAGACGAGTGTATTGGGATTGTCTGCTGGGGCCTCTATCAGTTCGTGTGTAGTGTTATGAAGCCCAAGTTGAAGTTTAGTGGTTTGGGCATTAGGAGTGAGATGTAAAGCCACTTTGTAAGCCTTTCGAAGCGTGGCATCTAGGGTAGTTATTTCTTCTTGTCGAAGTCAGAGATATGGAACTGTATGACAAAAGCGGCTCAGTATGAAGGCATGAACAAGTCGACACAAATTGTGTTCTTTCATGCCATAATGTTTGCCAGAAACTCGACGGATGAGGTGCGAGAGCACCTCCGTCACCTGCTTCAGTTTCCGGATGGTGAAATTGTTACGGCTGTTGTTTTGGATGTGAAGGCGCTAGAATCTGAGTGTGTCGACCTTCGGGATAGCACAGCCGGTCAGAGTAACAGTGATAGGGGTGGTGGGATGAGTACGTGGTGAAGGGCGTATGAGAATAAGCTCACATTTTTCCAGGGAGCAGGAGAGACCAATGCTTTGTGCGTGTTGCTATGTGATGTTGGCAGTGGTTTGCAATGTTTCCTCTAAGTCTCGATCACTACCGTGGGTAGTCCACAGAGTGATGTCGTTGGCATAAAGGGTGTGGTGAAGGTGAGGGATATTGTCTAGAGCACGGCCTAAGGGAATGAGTGTGGCATTGAAAAGAAAAGGGGAAAGGACTGAACCTTGCGGAGTGCCTACTCCGCCGAGGGTGCATGGGGGCACATATGAACCTCGGCTGTGCGTTCCGAGAGGGAGGATTGTATGTATGCGTACATGCGAATGCCCACATTGAGGGGGTAGAGAGCCGCCATGATCGCTCGGTGATCTACGCGATCAAAGGCCTTGGTTAATTCCAGGGCCAAGACGGCTTTAGTATGAGCGGC